AATTTAAAATTTTTTGGGGGGGGGGGGGGACTATTGTGTCCGATTATTTATGTTTATTAAAATGTTTTAGTAGCAATACTCACCATCTTATTTGTTATTGTTTTTATAGCACATTCAAATGTATTCTGACCCCTTCTTTTTAGTTCAGCTTAATGTTGCAACCTTATGCTGTAATACTAATGCTAAAAAAAAATAAAAATATATAAAATTGAAATATTTTTTTATATTTTTCTCAGACTCGAGTTTTCATCTCAATCATCACCAGTTATGTTTTTTTGTCTCTTTCTGCCCCTACAGCCATTGAGACTCAGAGCACCAGTTCTGAGGAATTGGTCCCCAGTCCTCCATCACCTCTACCCCCTCCTCGTATCTACAAACCTTGCTTCGTCTGCGAGGACAAGTCCTCGGGGTACCACTATGGTGTCAGTGCCTGTGAAGGCTGCAAGGTAAACATGCTATTCATCCTTTCATCCCACCAAATGGAACCCATCCAATAAATATTCAAGTTTTCTCGCCTGCACAGTCTACTGTCCTGGCCTCAGGTGTGCCCACTAAACAAAATAAGGTTCAAACCCATTTGTGTTCAATTATTTACAGTGAGTGCTGTTGAATTTGAGGCTAAGGTAAATGATGTTTAATGTTGTCTGCCAGTCTGGTGGATTAATGCAGGTTTCACGGGTTCTTGCAGGATATCTCAATATGAACACTCATTTTCTACATTCACATGTGCCAGTGTTTGGGATTGACATGCACATTTACTAACAGGTGTGAGTCTCAAAATGTCCTGTTCACACAACAGCTTAAAATAGAGGCTTGAATACATGCAATGGAAGTCAAGTTCATATTCTATTTGTGACTATAACCTGTAACCATAGCAACAGTGATTAAAGTAATATCGCACGAATATCGCATCAAGTTTTATTGCACTTGACACAACAAGAGTCCAAATTCATCTGTCAAATCTTAATTAACAGACAGTAGCTTCTATACCTTAGTGACAGCAGATCATTTGAGTCATGAGCAAACCACAAAACAGGAGCAGCTCCTGTGCACTGAATCTAAAACCTTCAGATAACACACAGCCTATATCTGCGTCTATCAAGGTGGAATCAGATTCCAGAAAAGATCAGATGCTCTCCAACAGAAGCCACATTAAAATCCAATAACACATCTGAATAAAACAACTCTGTTTTGCTGTGCATTTACAGAATGCTACCCACTGATGCACTGCATCATCCACTTATTCTTATCTTTTCTTCTTATTGTTTTCAATCATTTTTTTTTAAATCCATTTTTGATCACACTTTATTTTAAGGTCCAGTTCTTACTATGAGAAACTATTAACTACTGTTAAGTTTAGGTATGGGTTAAGGGATCTAAAATGTGGTCATGCAGAATAAAGCATATTAATATATGCTTTATAAGTACTAATAAACAGCCAATATGCTAGTAATATGCATGCTAGTTAACAGTAAGAATTGGTCCATAAAATAAAGTGTTACCTACATTTTATGTGATCATCTATTATGATTATTTTATTATTTAAAAATTTTTTTATGTAAAGCACCTTGAATTACCATTGTGTATGAAAAGATTTATAAACTTTATGAAAATAAAATAAACTTGCCTTGCCTTGACACTGTCTCTCGTCCCACACTGCAAACTCACTCTCTTGTCCTACAAACACAAGTGGCACTATCTTGCATCTCAGTTATCGATTGGGGTGAAAATAACCTCTGAGAACTTCAGGATTCATATTAATGTACTGCTGCAGCATTCGTCTTGTTAAATTATCTTTTTCTTAGCTGAATTTTAAAATATAATATACAGGTAACATTAGAATAGGTAAAAAAACCCTCAATATTTCAGATTTCATTAGGGAAAGATCCCCCCCTGCACTGTAAAATCTAATTAGTTGGGCTTACTTAAAAAAAGCATGCAAACCGATTGCCTTGAAAAAACTAAGTAAAGTGAAATAGGAATAGTATGTTGTACTGACAAATGCTTAGTTGGTATAGCTTACTTACACGAGTTCTAGAGTTCTAGTAACTAAAAAAGAACTGTAGGGGGTACTTGATCCTTTCATTAAGGTTTACTCATGACTTAGTATATAGCTACTCATGGTCACTTTCTAAAAGCAACCTATTTATTACTTTACTTCATTTGAAATCAAATAACTCTGACTTCATAATGCATTACTGCATTAACAGGAAGGAATTTATAGTAACATAAACCAAGTTCAAAGTGCCCAACCAAAGGGAACGCTAATCACTATAATGGTGAATTAAAAAACCCCCACATTTTAGGAAAATCAACATCAATTTATGAAGTTAGCTTATGTGATGTTCTCTCAAATATTTCAGTTGTATTGAAAATTCAACATTCAAGATGACTTTGGGAAACGAGTTAATGCAACTAGTGAAAGATAACTGCAGACATGGAGGAAATGGGTGAAAAGTTTATTAAGACTATTTTTCTTTTCTTCTTCTTCTGTTGTTATGTTGCACATTAGCAACATATTAGTGCACTGCTGCCTCTCACTGCTTTATTAATGTCATTGGTTCCTTTGTGGCTACTTGAATATTTTAAGTAAGTGTCACTCAAAACAGTAAGTAAATTGTTTTATTTGCCTTGAAAGTAGCTGTAACTTAATAAAACCTAGTAAGTATAACAACTAAGTAAAGATAACTAACTAAATCTAAGTAAGGTAAACTATTGGATTTTACAGTGTGCGTATCAGTGTTCTAACAAAAAAATGACCAAATAACTACTAATTAATTTATCTCAGTAACCTCCTCTTATTGGACATTTTCAGGCAAGGAATAGATTAGTCATAACTAGCAAAAATGCCTAGGAATTAAAGAAGCAAGCCATTCAAGGCTGTGTGTTACACAGGTTATAGTAGCAGTGGTCACTGTAGTGCTGTTACAGCTGCAGGAAGAAGATGAGTTGCGCGGTGTGACTCTAACTGCAGGCTTTGAATAGAAAAGTAATCCAGAATCAAAACAAGAGGAAGACAACAGAGCAAGGATACAGCAAACGGTACCAAAACACATTTAGACATAAGCTGAAAGAAACAGAGGGCTATAAATACACAGGATAACAAGAAACAAAGCTAGAAACAAGGTAAGGGTAATCTGTAACCAAGGAAACAAATGAAAAACATGAAGAAAGTAACACAGAAAATATGAAATACAAACTCCATAGGAGTCTCAGAACACAGAGCAAAGTTTTGCAATTTTCAATAAAGAGATTAAAAAGTAATTTCGATTAATAAACTGAATAAATAGTTCTTCCACCACGTAAAAATATATTTAATTATTTAACTGCAGGCTGTTCACTGTTCCCTATTAATGTAGCAACATTATTTAATTTAAACAATTAATTAATATAGAATGTGCAAATAAGCAGGTCTGTCTACATCACCTTGAGTATTCACGTGTTGTTAAATTAAAAAAAAAAAATCTTCAAGTATTTTAGGTCAAAGGGGTGTGGCTGACAAAAAAAAAAAACTTTAGGACTCCCTGCATTACATGAACAAACATTAATATACGTGAAAACATCAATGACATTACACATTCAAGGTTTTCAGGTTTTTCACAGCTATATATCAGCAGTGTTTAGTAAGTTGCATAATTATTTCTCTCATACATGGTTGAATTGACCGAGAGGTGTTTTTGGCCCCGAATTTAGAAGCATGAATCACAAATTTATTTACATGACCTTTACATGGCCAGGAAGGAAAAATTAAAAGAGAGAAAAAAAGAAAAAGCCATTGTGTGAATAATAAGTTATCATGTAATATGTTAAAAAGTAACAGTAATCTAATTATGACTATTTTAAAATGTAATATAATCAAATTACAAGTACTTTTTTGTAATCTGATAACATAATTCTGATGAATCCGGATGTGTGTGAGCCCTGTGATGAACTGGCCTCCACCTGTGGCCCAAGATGCTGGGACAGGCTCCAGCATCCCCACAACCCTATTTAGGACAAGCAGATAATCAATAGATTAATCAAAATAATCATTAGTTGCGGCCCAACTTGAGAATATGATTATTGTAGCCGTTATTAGACTTACATATCTATATACACACTCATTCTGCATCATGTGATCAGAGAGAAGGGGAAGCAAGAATAGCTTATCCAGGCCAGACTGCCTTAGAATGGGTGACATTAACAGCTTCGAATGAGGATTAGAATAAGGATTATAGAATGTTTCTGTGTCATATACAGTATACGTCCCTCTGGGCACAGCGCCATTGTAAGGAACTTCTAAGGATGAACTTCATGGAATAATAGACGAGTCGAGGGTGCTGTATAGCCACAGGATCTAAAATCACACACACAAATAAGTAAATAATTCAGTGTAATTTAAGCTGTTTTACTCATGGGGACCAAAAACCTGTTTTTACTATCCTTGTGGGGACATTTGAACACCTAAACTACACACACATACATACACACACATTTCAAGTATATAATACAGAGCCATGCATGTTTCTCTGCTGTCAAAAAAAAAGCAAAAGCAAAATGTTCATTGTGTGTGTCTGACATGGGCATGCTTTGTTGCATTTGGATGCTGGTGTGCTGGATATACAGTCACAAAGACACATAAATCTATAACCACAAATACACACTCTAGTACATGATGGGCTGGTTGCACTAGATTTGAAGCCTGCAGCAAATATTTAGGCAATAGGATACTGTATAATGTCACTCTCCAAGGCTTCTGTTTTGAATAAATAATAAATTATAAATAATGGAAGTGTTAAATATACCACATACTTATGTTTCTGACACTGTGCACCATGCAACGTGTCTTTTTATTATAAGTGGGATTTTTTTTTAAAGGGATGTGCAATTTTATCGTTTTGACTTCTCAATAAATCAACTGAGTGCTCTAGCAGAAAAGAGTAGTTATCGGGGTGAATTCTGTCTATATTATTATTATTATTTATAATGATTATTATTATTTTAAATTGAAGCTCTATGCAGTGTTCAGACATACTCTTAAATTTGGTCAATCTTTTAACTTTTCGAGTTTTTGCCCCATAATGCATCTGATTTCTAATTCTCTGCCTGGTGATTCACAAACATATAGCCAAGAAGAATGTGAGCCCAAAGACACAACTGATGCATGTGGCTCTCTTCTGCTCATTTGCATCATTTGCCATGAGCATGCTTTGTTTGATATTGGGTTGGAGGTCTGATTTGAATTGGTAACATAGTGAGGAAACATATGGATGAGCATATGGAGATCTGATTTGAATTGGTAACATAGTGAGGAAACATATGGATGAGCATATGTTTATGCATATGCATACAGAAAAGACACATCTCAAGCTAAGCCAAATAAAGGCGCCAGACTTTGACATTGGCATCTTTCTGACATGTGTCCTCTGTCTTTCTGTTGCTTTAAACTTGCTGTCTCTCACAAGTT